GTGTTTGTCGAGGCCGCCCAAGGCCTGCAAGTCGCGTCCCGCCTTGACGGCCGACCAGTGCCGCCTCAGGAAGTCGATGCGTTACGGCGTGTCGGGGCCGCCGGCCAAGCGTTGGGTACATTCCAGCCACTGCCCAAGAAGACTTGCAATAGCGCACCCCACGGCGGTGCCTGCGGCTTCTCCCACGCAGGCCCCCGACGCATGCTGCTTCCTTGTTGGTGCCTGGCCCTGGGCAGCCTTTGTGCTGCTCTCGCCGAGCGAGATCGCTCTAGACCTCCGGGCGTCCAGGCCGGGTCCCCCGGCGGCGCATCCCGGGCGGGCTCCCCCTTGTCGGATCAGAGCCTGGCGTTGCACTAGCCTGCCCTTGTTGTTGCTGACAGCCGCATGCGCTCTGGCCTTGCCAGCCTTGATCCCGTCGATGTTCGCCCTCCTCCGGTTCAAGGTCCACACGTTCCAGGCCCCCCCCAGCTTTTGTCAAAGGTCAAATCCGCCAAGCTTTGCCTTTTTCCCTTCAAGCAATCCTCGAAGCTGGGGACCCAGTTGTCCATCCGCTTGCTGCCGAGCGCGCTTGGAAACTCTGGCTTTTGTTGCCCCGCATGCTGCTCCACAGGAAAGCGGGCGAACACCTTGCCGCGTTCCAAGAGGGACGTTGGAGCCAGCTGCTCTTGGATGTGCGTCATTCCCTGCCTAGCGCGCCGACTGGTGCATCTCGGCGAGCTGTCCTCGGCTCGGCAAGCCCTTGCCGCAGCAACCTTGGCCGAACTCCGGGACCCTTCTCGCCGCCCCGCGGCGCCTTACGAGTCGCTTCCTCCTGAGGTCCTGCGGTTCCAACCTGCTGCGCCTGCTACGTTGCGTTGGGAGGCTTTCTTGGCAAACCTCCGCAGAGCTAAAAAAGGGGCTGCGGCAGGCCCGTCCGGACTCACAGCGGAAACCGCCCGGCTCGTTCTTGACAACGAGGCCGACTCCGAGCGGTTTTGCAAGGTTGCCCAGCTCCTGGCCCGTGCCCTGCGCAAGCCGTCTGGGCGTGTCCGGGGTTAGTCATCAGTGATTTTTTCCGACGGCTTGTGGCTCGCACCCTCGCTCAGCAGCATGCCGCTGCCTTCCAAGAAGCTTGCCATGGCAGTGGGGCCGTCCAGAATGGGGACAGAGACCAGCGACCAACCTGACCACACATCAAGCCAGCCCCCGAGCCAAGTCCATCGGCAGGTCCAACTTGCCTTGCAGGCGCTTGACTCTGTCGAATTAACCACCACTCTGCAGCGCAAAGCCTGTGCGTGGGCCTGTCCGCCAGTGCTTGACCAATGCGCTGTCAGCTGTGCTTGGGGCTGCTGACAACGAGGTCGCAGCCATGCGTGCTTGGAAACTGTCCAGGATGTTGTTGCACAGGGAGCCTGGAACGAGGAAATTGCCCAAACGAGATTGGGACGAGCGATTTGCTGCATTCCACGCTAACAGGTGGGAAACGCTGCTACATCAAGCAACTCAAACGCGTGCAGGCCATCGAAGTCCGGCCCGGCGCCCGACACACGTGAAATCGCCAACAACAATGCCCCGCACCCGGCCATTGGGCTTGAAGCCAAACGCCCTGGCGGCGGGCAGTGGCGACAAGTTGCAACACTTGCACTAACCGGTCTGACGCCTCCTCATCGTCCAGCAAGAGACGGGCGAAGCACGCCGTAAGTTAGCAAGGACAACTTCAGGCAGGAGGTGGGCGGGCTCGTGCGGTTGGAACTCGAGGACGGTCGGGTCAAGTGCCTGGTACGGTGTTGCCCGCACCCTTGCACAGCAGAATGCATCAGTGTTTCAGGACGCGTGCCAGCCAGAGCAGTTTGCCTTGTCATCCCGCGCTGGCACCGAAAGTGTGGTAGGCCACCTTGCTGTCTGTTGATGGGGTGGGTGCATTTGACACCATCAGCCGCCAGTCCATGTTGGGGGGTTTGTTGGAGACACCAGGCGCATCCTGCATACTGCCTCTTGCCGTCCGAGCACGTGTGGCATGACGCAAATGGTGTTGCGCACCTTGTGCTCCAGCCGAAGGCGGTGAACAGGGCAACCCGCTGATGCCCGCTTTGTATTCACTGGGGCAGCATCCCGCGTTGCGAGCAGCCAACGCCGAGCTGCCAGCAGGCGAGCGCATAGCTGCCTTTCTTGATGACACGTATGCGCTTACAACTCCTGAGCGGCTCGCCACTTGGCAGAGCACTGCCACATCCAGCTCAAAGGAAAGACGCGTGTGTGGAACGCAGCAGGGCGGTGTTCGCCCAACCTCGGCCAGCCAAGCTTCCCCAACCAATCGTGCTGGGTTGGGGCAGGCAGGCTCCAGGGGTTGGTTGTGCATTCCCGACCCAGCCTGCGCCGTCGCGCAGTTGCCATTGTCCTTGGGGGGGTTGGGGCTGCATTCAGCGCAGCGCGCAGCAGCCTCAGCCTATTGCGCTCGTGGGCCGACTGCTTGCCTGTCTTGCACTTACGCTGCCCAAGACCTTGTGGCCCCGTAGCGTGCCGTGCTTCGGAGGAGTTGCAAGCTGTGGGGGTGGAACCCGCCCGACTGGCCACAGCTGCTGATCGGCCAGCAGTCCACGCCGCCGACCTTGCACGGCCTCCGCCTCCCGCTCCCCCTCTCCGAGCGCTTCTGCCGGTGTCGTCGCCTTCTGGACCCTCTTGGCGACCACCGTGCTGCTTGCGCGCGATCAGGGGTTCTTCGGGGTCCTTTGGAAAGGTGGCGCCGCGCGGGTTTGCCATGAGGCGGGGGCCCTTGTCACTTGCAACACCCGTCTGGCAGACATGAATTTGCAAGTCGACCGAGTCGACGACAGGCGGCTTGAAGTTGTTGCCAACGGCCTGCCGCTCTCCAGGCCAGTGTGACTCGTTCCTTGGTTGCTCTTGGCGCACTCAGCCATGACAGCCTTTGCCTCCTCGCTCTTGTGCCAGACGCCACGCCCAGATGTGCGGGGCGCTGCCCGCCAACAGCACCCTGTTGCCGACGCAGGGGAGCCTCCGCCCCTCGCCTCCCGCCTGCCTTGCCACTAAGGGCCGCACCCCTTGTGCGCGTCGTGCCCGGAGGCTGTCCGGTTCACCAACAGCTTTCCTTCAAGCCCTCCTGTGCTTGGAGGCATCCCTAATGGGGGGGGTTTTGGGACAAGACTTGCTGCGCCGGAAAAGCGCGTTGAGAAAAACAACGAAGGTCTGAAGCCCCTTGTCCAGCAAGAGGGGGGCAACCTCCGCAGTGGACCTTCTGGCCCGGCAAATTTATTGGCGCGACTTACGGCAGCAAGGGCAACCTCAGGCAAGAGATAGGGCAGGCTCACCCGGTTGGAAATCAGCGCATACGTGTCATCAAGGAAGGCAGCTATGCGTTCACCGGCTGACAGCTCGGCGTTGGCAGCTCGCCGTGCGGGATGTTGCCCCAGTGAATACAAAGCAGGCATCGGCGGATCGCCCCGCTCACAGCCGTTGGCTTGGGGCACCCACTTGCGTCGTGCCACACATACTCAGACAGTCCGAGTAACACATGCAAACAAATGGCAAAATGCGGGATGCCCTCGGTGTTTCCAAGCCCCAAAATGGACTGGCGACTGAAAGTGTCAAACGGCCCATCAACAGACAGCAAGGTGGTTCCAGTCGGCCGGGCCAGGCCTCCACAACTCCTTTCCTGCTGCGGAGGTGGCTCCAGGGACGGGGCTGGGGCTGGCTAGGGGAGCTGTGGCAGGTGGGCTGGTGGCTTCCCAAGATGCGCCAGCACCGCTAGTCGCTTCCGGCAGCACCCCGCAGCGCTGCCGGACGAGCAGCGGACGCGCCGGCTCCACTCGCCACGGCAAAACCATCTCGCACGCTCATCCAAGTCTGCGCCCGAGGAGCAGGAGCATGCGCGGCGCCAGTAGGAAGAGTTTCCAGCCGCAGACTTCCTGATCCGACGGAGTTCGTTCATAGTCGTTTATCTTGGCGCGTAATTTTTGAAATCTGTTGTGAAAAGGCACATTTTTTCCATGCGGAAATAGTTTAGCTGGCTAATTGGTCGTTGTACTTCCTTTTGGTTTTGCTATTTCCTTGCTGATGTTGCTGAGGGTTTTGGCGGTTCGGGTGTTGAGTTCTCGGTGCGACTCATCCCAAGCATCATTCTATTTGCATTTCAGCTCTCAGACAGCTGAGCGCTCCGAAACATGGCCATTCGATCTAAATGAGTGCCAAACTTGACACACCTCAGCCGTTGAAATTGCGCCGAGTATGTGCTTTTGCATTTGGGCCCTTGGAATGTGGCCAAGCCATTTGGTTGCGCGCTCCAGCGTTTGCAAGCAGGCACGTTGAGGAACCTCTCGACAGTAGCCAAAATGCCGCTGTGCGCCCGCGCAGTAAGGCGCAAAACGCAACTGAAAAAACCCTACCCCACCCCCCGCCTCCCCTAGCCCTGCAAGAGCCAGCTTCTGGAGCTGGATTTCGTGGCAGGCGCAGTGCTTTGAGCGTTTTGTGTCGCAAGTGATCGGCAAAAGTATGTCGCAAGTGAATGCTGGACCGGCAAAGGGATGGAGCGGCTGGGATTGCGTGGTGTCGAAAACCAGGGATGGCTTGGGCGCATGCTGACGCGCCCGTTTGAACAGTTTGCTGCCCCCGGCGGGCCCTTGTGAGCCCCAAACAATGGCATGGCATGTGGCCCTCCAAGTAGATTGAAAACAGAAGAAAACCAAAATATGAGTCCTTGAGCATTGACCTATGTTGACATAGTTGTCAGCTGTGCGGGGTTTGGTTGTGTGGGTTGGGTTGGCCGTGTTGGTTGTGAGGGTTGTGCTGGTTATGGGTTGTTGTGGGTTGTTGTGGGTTGTTGTGGGTTGTTGTGGGTTGTTGTGTGTTGGTGCGCGTGTTTCCCGCAGTTGGAGTGATTGTTACAGCAATTCAGATTCCCTCCTTATCTTTTCGGCTCCAAGGAGGGAATGCCAATCCGTCCAAACACCCAGCCAGCTTGCAGAACGGCAACTGTCGAAATACGCAAGGACGGTCACCTACAGCAACTGCATTTGGCAGCACCGGCCATGTTCACGCGGAGATTCCGCTCCGAACAAGCCAGTTCGCAAGACCCAGAACCAGAGGCAGGTCAGTTGAAGAGGCTTTTTGTGCAATTTATCGCCGTCGGAAATTGCCCGCCTGGTCTTTGAAGGATGCGAAGACACGTTTTAGAGCAAAAGGAAACTATCCCCCTCAGGTAGATGCATTCCGTCTCTTCGGCGACGAGAAAGTTGGTGCCAAGTGCGAGCCGCGGGAAGGACAATTGCCAATTTTGAGTCGGACGCGTTGGCAAGCTGGCAAGGCCGTATTTCGAATGCGTTGCTTGTAACTTCTGGGGATGCATGAGGGCGGACGTATGAGATGTCAGGATTTCAGAACACAGTGCACGAGATGCTCCAAGGCAGTGCGCGACCTTGGCTCCTTGGTAAATTTGGACATGTCAATGGTCACCCAGTGGACCCAGTGTTCATTTTGGAGCAGTTGCAGCATCGTTCGGGAAGTGAGTTTTGCCATGCTTGCATTGGGCTCAGGCGCCGCAGGCCCTCGCTACAGAGATTCTTTTCGTTTCCGCTGCAGATTCCGCCACTTGGGAGAGATGTGGCTGCCTGTGGCTGCCATTTTTGTCCGTATGTGCATTTTGACTCGATGCTTGGACTGGATTGTTTTCTGCTTTTTGGGGCCAAGCTTTGGATTTGCGTTCTGCTGAGGCTGTCCGAGAGCCGCTTGGCCTGAAGAGCGTCGTGATTTGCAATCAATTTCTCCCGCACCAGGCGATGAGTTGATGACCAGCTTCCACTTTCGCCGGATGAGGCAAGACGAATCTGACCCGGAACTGGCCGGCATTTTTCATGTGACCAGGTCGGAAGGTGGCGAGGAATGTGGCTACCCGGACCCTGCACTTTTAGTCAAGGAGGACAGCTAAGCGCTCTCGGCGTGCGTCGTTGCGCGTGAACCCCTCAGCCTCCTAGACCCCTAAACTCTAAACCGAGCAAGTATAGCCCACAACCTGGCTGCAACTACCAGCCATGGAAGGCATGCACATTCTTTGGATGGTTCAGTGCAGGGATGCAGGTTCTTGCCCCTCGCTTCAGGACTCAAACCTCACCTTGGATTTTGCAACGGCCCCAGCCAATCAGGCAAAATGCTTTGTGGTCTTGTAACAGCATCCAATCAAAATGTGTGTGTAGTACCTGTCAAGTCTACCTGGCAACCTTCTCGTACTGCAACAACTCACGCTCAGCCAAGCAATCTGCGTTCGTGACACGAAGCGGGCAGTTGGGCGCAGCCATTCGCCCAGAACAAAGGAAAGCTAGCACGAAGCGGACGGTTTGTTCAGCGCTCCTAAGGTCGACGATGAGAAGATCGCAAATCGCGTTTGCGGCTCTGCAGCTTGTGCGGCAATATCGGCAATGTTGTTCGGCTGTTTTGTCGCTTTGTATTGAGACTGGGCTGTGCAACTGTGTGCTTGGCATTGAGGATAATACCATCAGCACGACTTACAGCGCATCGCCGGAGACGCCGCAGAACGGGCCAGGCCACTCCTCTGCAAGGCACGCAAAGTTTGACACCAGAGCTTTGCTTCCGCCTTGCTGTTTTTTTGCTTGGGTCGGGCATCCTCACTCATGTAGCTTGCGTGCGCCATGTGTTTCGAAGTTCTTTTCTGCTTTGGAGACCTGGCAAAGGATCCTTGTCATGCTCAGGTTGTGGGGTAATGAGGATTAGCCCCGGGTCAGTTTTTTTGTCTTGACCCTATGTTGAGGCAAAGCACAACTTGCAAAGTGGGACGTCACAAGTTTCTTTCGTCCTAATTTTCCACGGGAGTTGGATCATACTCAACTTGTTGTAAGGACTGCAGTGCTTACATCCTTGCTGGCTGCAAAGATGTTAAAGCTCTCCAGGAATCAGGGCCAGACCGCACGATCCTACTGGTCAATCATCAGGGTAGCAATAACTATATACAGTGCTTCACAGAGCTTACATCTAACACTTGTCCCTCCCGAAGCCGTGGGCAAGGCTTAGACATGCTTGGCTTGGATGTCTTCAAAGGCCGGAAGAAACTGCAGTATCCGGAGTGCATTGGGCCGAGGCGATTGGCGGTTTGAGCCGTTGCCTGTCTCCCGCTGTACCTCGGAGCTTTGGGCTCCAGAGTCCACGCTGATTCTGATAGCGTCTCGTGCTGCAATTGGGACATGGGCCGCTCGATGCACGCGAACGAAAAAAGCATGCCGCTACCCACAGCCACCCGCAACCCACACCATGGACCGATTTTACGACTTTGACGGGGGGCACAGGGATCTCGCTGTAGACCGCCCGCCCGCCCGCCCACCACCCACCAGCCACCACTCTCCACCCACCAGCCACCACTCACCACCCACCCACCCGCCCAGTGGGAGAGAGTCAAGAGAGAGTGAGTGAGTGAGTGGGTGGGCGGGTGAGCGAGATGAGATGAGATGAGATGAGATGAGATGAGATGAAATGGGATGAGATGAGAGGAAAGATGATGTGGGAGTAGTTTTTGATCAAGAATGGCTTCCGCAACGGATCCCCCTGAGGCGAGGCGAGGTGAGGCGAGGTGTGGTGAGAGGAGGTGAGGTGTTGTGAGCCCAAACCTACATGATGATATCATAAAGCGACCCCAAATCAGTTTAAGCGCCTAATATTTCCTGGCTTGCATGTGCAGACTGACTTCCGTTCTGGGGCCAGGACTGGGACGACACTCTCTTCCCCACGACTTGGCTTGAATCCAAGCAGGCTGTGCTGCGAGTCTTATGTTTTGTCGTTTCTTTAATCGTCGCCTCTTGCAACACCACGCAGAGGTGCCGTGATGGAATAGAACGTGTTGCCAAAACAAGCGATACACTTATGATGTGTTGCCAGATCTTGGCAGGAACATGTTTGAGCAGATCAATATTCTCTGTGTGTCGTCACGTGCTTCAAAATTAGAAGTCAACGTGCCAGGTGGGAATCTCTGCAAATTTGCTTGCTTGGACAGGTTGCGTCACCTGGATGGCTTGGGCTGAAACGCTCAACTGAATCATGACCAGCCCAGCTAAGCTATTGAGCTATTGTGAAGCTGCTGGCCTCGCCAGGCTTTCAAGAAGAGTTCGCTCATGGGCCCCAACCCGGAGGCCACCGGGGGCATGGCCAATGTGGTGGGTGACTGTTGCCCTGCGCACAGTATTCACAAAATTATCGAAGCGTGGATCCGAGTCTTCAGATGACTTCAGTCTGACGCACTGGCCAATTCTTGTTATTGCCCGAGGCCACGAGGCCTTTCATCTACTTAAAAATATACCTCGATACTAATTAGATGACCAGGGCAAATAATTACATGATCATCCACATAGATCGCTGTCATGCTGAGGTGAATCTCAAACCGGAAGATCTAGCTGTCTTGCAGGACGGCCATTTCACTGGAAGGGCTGAGACTTGAGGGAGTGTACAGGATTTGAGCCGTCGCCATTGCGTGAGAAAGAGAGCATGTTCGGCAGGAGCTCGACCAAACTGCAAGCTCATTAGTTCTGGCAGCTTCCGCCGCTTCGTCCGCCATTGGGCAACAGCCATGCGCATCCATGAGAGCCCGGGTTGCTCTGGGCCGCTTCAGCCTCCGAGGAACTGGGCCACATTTGCTGCGTGACTCTTGCTCAGCGGCCCTGGCAAGATGTTTCCATGAAGGCAGGGGCCTTCTTGGACAATTCAGACGATTTTTGGATAACCTTGGCAGCCAGAAAGGACGAAGAAGATCTTTTTTCTTTTTGGGCCGCCCACAAAGAAATGTAAGCCCAGACATTTTCTTGGATCGATTGGAAGCAAGCAGGGTTGAAATGATAACTTAGACCGAGGCAGGTCTAGATTATATTTCATGCCCCCCTCAGACAATCCAGCCGGTTTCGGAGCTTCCCCCAGAAATCAGGTCCCTTGCCGAAACCGTAATGATACATTTTTGGGTACCCAAACGACAACCCCCGCCCCCCCAATTTTTAGGAGTGGGGCTCGAAGAAGAGCCAAAATGGCTGCTTTGCCAGGGATGGCGCCCACCCTGTAGGTTTTCATGCCTAAGCTCTATGAGACCTGGAAGGCAGGGTGCGATGTGGTGTGCACTACTGAGAAAAGTTCTTAAAGGGGGTTCTGTGCAGTGCATGTGGAGGCAAATTGCTTTCCGGACGTGCCTTCTCCGTCGATTACTTTGTTGTCAAGTTGGGCGTTCCCTTTCAATGTGCCAAGCACCGCAAAGCTGCAACACCACCCACGCACGCGTCCAGGAGCTGGAGATACCTGTTTCCTATGCCAGCGAAGAGCCAGTGGAGGGCCGCCTTGGCAGCTCTGGTCCTGCAGCCAAGGCCATCCTCAAGGTGCACGTCGATCGCATTGCATCCCCCAATTCGCGGCCCCAAAGTCGTTTTAATCTTGACATTGAGTTTGGAGATGGAATCACTGCGCTCAGGATGCTGATGAAATAGACCAGCTTTTTCAGCAGCAGCAACTTTGCTGGTCGTGAGGCATTTGACACGCGACACATCACCAGCCTGTCGTTTTTCCGACCGTTTGTGTTTGTTGCCTTGTTTGCTTTCTGGACTTCGGTTGGATGACATGGCATTTGCCGACTCTGCCTAGGCAAGTGGCAAAGAAAATGAAAGCCATGGCAGCTCAGCTATGGTCTGGGCGTTTGCCTTGCCAGCTTCCTTGGGCGCTGCCTTGCCTTGTAGAGCAGCGACCCTGTAAGAGAACTTGGCGTGGAGGGTGCCAAGAGTTGAGGCTACAAGAAGTGCAGTTTTTTTCATGCTGCAAAGCAATTAGTGTTTGAAGATTGCATCAAGGACAAAGTCATCCGGCGCTACTTCGGGAATACGTGGAAGAATTTGCTCAGCATTGGCTCCTTGGCACCGTTAGCTTAGGATGAGTAGCTTTGTTTGACACATGGGTGATTTCCTGTTTGCTTGGATCCTGGTTTTGTGGCTTCGCCAGTCATGTTTGCTTCATGGCTAGAAGCATTTCCCTTCGTCCT